GCTCTTGATAAAACTGTTTGGAGAAATTCTTCTGCCATAAACTGTTTTATTTTACTTTGATTGGATTTTTTAAATAATTTATGAGAGCGACAACAGCTTTTACATTAACAGGAGCTACGGTGAGAATCTAGAGAGTGACTTGCATGGAGTTTTTGTTTTACTTTTGTGAAAGAGGAAATAGGCTTCGTCAATGTTAATTGGAATATGTTCAACATCAACATACCGATTTAAGTGAAGCTAAAACTTTTAATGCATATATAATTTAGAGTATATGTTGTATATATTTCAATACTAGACATATTTGATTGTGTCTGGAAAGTCCCATCAAGTAAACTGCCATCAGTTGACCATGTGACTATTACGATCAAAGCTTTTATTAAAAAGGAAAATACCTAATTGTCTCTACTTTTTAAATTCTATCATTCTGATAGAAACTCATAAACATCTAAGTTAATTTGATGCTCAATGCGCTTTGACAGTCGCATTATGGACTTCTCGATCTCTCCACTTGACGAGACATGAGAATATCTTGTCCCTTTCGTTCGTAACTATGTGGATGGCGCATCGGTTGTGCCTTGGACTCTCAACCTTGAGGTTGGGCGTTCGAAACACTCTCTGTGCAAGTCGCTTGTGTCCTTTGGCAAGGCACTTTATAAAAAAAATAACTGATACTAATACAACCTAATTAACACATCTTAGTTATGCTAAAATATTTAATCAAATTGTATTAGGACGTATTTAAGTTTAACAAACAGATACTAATACAGTACAAACTAATTAACACATCTTATTTATATGCTTAAATATTTAATCAAACTTTATTAGGTTGTATTTATTTAAGTATAAAAAATAACAGATACTAATAGAGTACAACTTAATTAACACATCTTATTAGGTTGTATTAATTCAAGCATTAGTTATGCTTAAATTGAGGGTCGTGATAACAATTGAGCAACATGCAGTGACCCATGTTCCTTTGAAAGGAACTATTAGTCAACGTTAGAAGAACTAAGAAAAATGAAAGAGTTCAAAAATCGTAGGGGTAGTCTTGAAATCTGCAATATACACAAACACTGTCCAGGGATATCCTTGAAAATACAAAAGCATGTAATATTGATGTGTCATTGTGCTGTTATTGCGGTGGCGACATTTCACAACCAATACCTTTAAAAACAGACATAATGAATCCTGGATTTTGAAACGAATCACAATCACTTTGCAAAAATGTTTTATTATTATTATCATTGTTCGCGAGACAAAGTAAAGGAACTCAGCTTTTAAGGCTCAAAATTCACAATTTATTTTCACTCAATTTCACAGGTTACAATTCACAATTTGTTGATACTTCATGTAATTATTCACTAAATTCCCTGGTATCGCTATTCACTTAATATTCAACTTTGTGTTGACTCCTCAAATTCTCAATTCTAACTTTACTTGTTAATTCACATTAATTCACAATAATTCTCACTTAATTCTTGGTTAATTTCGAGTTAGTTCTCGAGTTAATTCTCGTTAGTTCTCATTCATTTGGTCACTGGTTCACATTTTGTTACACACTTGTTACCGCCCATTTTTTAATATTAACCTATCACAGTGACACTTTTCTCATCAGTGGTATTTAAAATTCTCAGTATTTGATAATTAATTGACTATTTTTTGGGTTCAACTACCTTTCTTTAACTCCTAGTCATTACCTAATATTCAACTTTGTGTTGACTCCTCAAATTCTCAATTCTAACTTTACTTGTTAATTCACATTAATTCACAATAATCCTCACTTAATTCTTGGTTTAATTCCTGGTTAATTTCGAGTTAGTTCTCGAGTTAATTCTCGTTAGTTCTC